ACAGTATGACTAGTAGAACAAAGTTCTTATCCTCTGTGTGGCCTCATTGTTTAGCAGCTGAAACTATTTCTTGTGTCTCTACTTTCCAATAAATCCTTAAAATAATCTCCCACAAACTGAAGTAACGTGAATAAATCTTTCTCTTGCAAACTAAAAAACAAACAAAAAACTGGTAAGGATGGCTTAAAGAACAGGACAACAGCACCTTCCTATATTTTCAATGCCATATCCTGCTCTAAGGCTAAGCTCAAAATCAGACTCTTCTCTGAATGTTTCCTACTTGAACAAAATATCTGGGCAAGGCAAGTGAGCTATCAGATGTCATATGGGCTGAATATATAAAGCTTGGACATGTTTAAACAGGATTGAGACTTTGGAATAGAATCTGGCTCACTGAATTACTGCAGTAAAAATATGTCAAGCAGCAACATGAAAGGGTAGAAAATAGGGGAATACGTGTTATATTCAGGACTGCAGAGAGTAGGCAGCTGAGTAGTAGAGACTGGTCTGAGATCAAGAAACAAAGAGCCAGAATGCTATTTATCTTCAAGTATTTGCTTAAAGATTAAATATATTTGAAAGGAAAGCCCTACTTATCTCTGATTAGGGGACATTTTAGTGGCTTGGTAGCAGGATAAACAAACAATAGCAGGCAGCTGCCTTCAGAGTGAGATTTAAGGAGGAATGTGAGGAAGGTTGAAAGGGAGATAGCGGTGGTGATGGTGGTAAGAGGGGAAGGGGCAAGATCAGAAGACAGTGCCAGAGCTCAAAGCCCTTGGGGTTTTGAGAGGGTTTGAAGGGAAACTGAAGGAGAAAGGAAGGACAGAGTATTGCCTGGCTGACCTAGATGTGGCCCATAAATGAATGACTCACTTTTATGTAGTTTTGGCAAGTGGCCACCTGAGGTCCCTTTGCCCTACGCACCTAGAAAATTTTTTCATTTTTCCCCCTATCAAGTAAATTATTCATCCTCAATTTTTGAAGGATAAATTTAGGTAATGACTTAAAGAAGGGAACCCACAGGAGATGGCGGCCAAAAGCAATTCTCCTCCCTGTCTTTGTTCTTGAACTACATTAATGAATGAGCAAGACTGACCTGGATTCAGATCCCTGGGTAATTTCAAGGATTAAGTACGTTAACATCATTTAAATCTATTTAGTGTCTAGCAGGGAATCAATAAATATTAGCTCCCTCGCATATACATGCACATACTAACATACAAATTTGCCAAATATAGACACAAGAGAAGGAACATAAGGAGGAATTACACCAACTCTTTATCTCTCTAAAGGGGGCAGGACTCAGAAGTTCCAAAATGAAATGAGAGCTGCGCTAGGAATCATTCCAGAGAGCAAATTTATGCTGCTCCTTTCATTGCATGTTGCTGCTTGTACATAATAGCCAGAGGGAATAGAACACAAACAGCTGGGAAATAAAGATGAAAGCAAAACTGTATCAGCAGGGAGAGACACACAACCCCCTAGGAAGCCGGCAGTGTCACGCAAGATAATTTGAACAAGGTCACTTGCACGGAATTCCTCTGCTCAGAGAAAGATCATTAGATTCCTGCCCATTTTTGACCATCTTCAGGAAGTCTGGGTGGAGAAAAGAATGCATAGTCCCTTATTTTCAAATTTCTACACTAAAGTCCTGTTTATATAACGAAACAGCCACAGACAAAAGCATGAATTACTATAAAGGCTAACTGTGAAATTTTAGTTGTCTGAAAACAAAGAAATTCTGCTTCTCAGAGCAAATGGAGCAGGTTGCGGTTCCCCCACTCTTGAGTCCCGTACAACATGTTTTGTGGCCTTATGCTGCCCTCTAGTGTCTTTTTAAGGTAAAGTAACATGAGAAATAAAGACACTAACTGAATCAGCCAATAATGTGACTTATGCTGAGGACTGGCAAAACAAAAGTAAAATTCTAAAACAAAGTTAAAAAATGAGTTAAATTAGGCTTAAATATAGACCTTGCATTATTTCAAGGTTCTGTAATACATGGCATCTAGATCAGTTGGTGCTCTTTAAAAATACAGATTCCTGTCGTACCCTGCACATCCCTCTCAAACAATTACTGCCTCAGTTGGTCTAAGGTGGGACCCATAAATATGCATTTCACGAATGCCACCTCTTGATTCTGACATAGTTAAGTTGGTTAACTTCACTCTGAGAAGAACCAAAGATGCTGGCTATCACTTTGAGCAGGGTGGAGAATAAATCTGATAATTTTCTTCTCATTCTTAAAGGATACAGCTCTTAGGCAAAATGAGCATGAAATAAAAGCATTGACCAAAATAGGTCGATTTTCATTCTTCCTGCACTTAGAGTGGTTCAATCCTATATGCCTAGCATGCAATGAAAATGTGCTGTTCATTTCAGAGTGAATAGTTCATGTACAAGTTCTCCTGCATCATAAGCCCCCTAAATTCCAGTGTGCGTCCAGGTCTGAAGAAGGAAAAGTGTCTAATTGCTCTTACTCATCCTTTAGACACCCCCTGAACATTACTTCCTCAAAAAGTCTTGCTGGTGCTCCCAGATTAATTTCAATGTCCCTGATGTGGCTCCATAGCATCCTGTTCTCTGTCCTAGAAATGCTCCTTCAGAGTCAGTCTTCTCCCTAGGACAAAGAGCTTTCACTAAAGGAACCAAGTACTCCTCTTTCCAGCTCTGCTCTCTGTCTTAGCACAAGTCAGTGCTCAGTAAACGCTCATCATCTGGCCAACACCTACAGCCCCACGTACCAAAGGTGGTGACGATGGGAGAGAAGAGATTTCGTGCCTCATGACTGTGCTCTTTCTTCAGGCTCCCTGTAGTCGATGACACAGATGACAAGAGGCTGCTTGGGGCTATGGTGGCCACTGGACCACACACCCAATTTACAATCCACAGCCTTTGCCTAATTTTAGGAACTTGATATCATTTTTGGCATAGTCCAATAAGTTTATAAACAATTAGACTTTTAAGAGGCTAATCATTAGTAATGAATCTGCTTGCTCACCTGGGAAATTTGTCTCCACTATAAATTGTGTTTTTTAAAAAACACAAGGATAGTCAGTCAGAATTCAACACTTAATATCTTAATATTATATTATTATTCAATTCAGTTTTAGTATTTACTTTTTACCATGGGAAAAGCCTTTCTTAAATGCAGAGTTAAAATACTCAGTGTTTTAATAACAATCAGCTCTGTGGGCTTCTAAGATTTGTAAACGTACCCCTCTCCCTCCCCCACCAGAAAGAATCTCATACCACAACATCCTATTACTCTCATTTCTATTTGTTAATGAGCAATAAGCAAATATTTACTTCTCAGGAGACAGTGCCTTAAATATCCAAAGAGATACAACCCACTGCCGAGCCCTGTATCCTCCATGTGCAGGACTGTGCATGTCACATGCTTCCACCGATCATGAACTGCTTTCTTCCCAGCCATGTTAGTCTCTGACGTAGTATCCATAGTTTCTTATACAGATCACTTATGCTTGCTGAGCTCTCTCCTACACACACAGGGCATCGTTTTGCTTTAGATTTGGTAGCTGGCTTGGCCAACACACTGAATTTTACAATCTTTCCTTTTCCCTTGACAATTACCACCTGAGCCCACTGAGCAGCAAAACAGGAGCACCATTGAAACAGGAATAAAAATGCAGTCCATTCACTTCAGTTAGAGAGAAGAAAGAGAAAGAGGTTTGACTTGTTAAACAGCATTTCCTTTTCTTTTCTTTTCTTTCTTTTTTTTTTTTTTTTTTTTTTTTTTTTTTTTTTTTTTTTTTGAGCTAAGCTATTAGGTTTGTGGGCACAAACAGGATCTCTTTGAAGTTAACAAGAGGCCCACTGTTAAAGAAGGGAGACGGCCATTACCACACATTTTATGTGCTGGACAAACGCAGTCCCAGGATGGTAGATACATTCTGCAATTACGGAAAGTGAAACACTTCTTTATTCTTTCACTTTATTTGGAAAGAGCATTTTTCTCTATAATGAATTCTGTTGACTTTTCTCTTTCCAATTCCCTAACTCTCCAATGTCATTTCCTTTTGAATCAAAGGGAAAGATCCCATCAATATAAATGAGCAGTTCTTTCCAAGCAAAAATATGACTGCAATGGTATCTGCAGAGTTTTACACTGCATCAGGATACAGCAGAAGGAGAAACAGAGGGGAGAAATCAGAACTGGGTTTACGTTTCTTTCTATCATGGTTGTTGTTCTACTCCTGGGCAAGTCATTCAGCCCTCAGATTCCTACATTCAGGAAAACATGCTAAAAATACCTTCTCTGATGCTCATTGTGTTGTTAAATGAGATGGGATACAGGGATACATTCTTAGTGAATTACAAAGGCCTATGCAAATAGAAACTTCTGTTATTTTCTTCTATTATTGACATGTTTACTAAGCATTTTGTCTTGTTCATTTGAGAAGTCAAGTATCAAAAATGAAGGAAAAGTCTGTTAGAGCAGCTGGTGAAAAAAGCATTCCCATGGGTGTGTGTGCATGGGAGTCGGGGGGAGAAAGGGGATGGGGGCTAGAATTCACTGTTGGGAACAGAGTATAATCCAGTCTCAGACTCCTGTTGGTCATCTAGGAAACTTCACCAAGGAAAGAAAACTAATAAGTTCTAGAACAAGCTCTTTATGTATCTGGTTACCTTGAATCCAAATTGATTGAAAACTGTTGGGACTGAAGAAACTTGCAAATGCCTACTTTTAAGAGTAATATTAAGGCTAAAAATACCTTCATCTTACTCTTTAAATTTTAATCATGCATGCATTCTTAGATGCTACATTTTTTGAGCTGCTATTAAAAATACATATGTTCCTGCCACATTAAAGGGGAAACAAAGGCTTGTGTGTTGTATTATTAACTATGTGCTGGAAAAGAAATTCTGACCAGTTTTTGTGAAATGTACACCCCACCCCCCCGCAAAGCAACAACGTTTGCACATGAGTGGAAACCTTGTGCTGCCGTGCTGGTTGGTGTGACATAGCGTGCACTTACTCTTGAGGTCTAAGTTCCTGGCGCCCGCAGTGATCTGCGTTGTAATTTTCGTGTCAATCTTTACAGTGTGGAGATTGCTGGTGTCCCTTGATATCATCACGTTGTGCCACTGATTGTCATTGAGAGGTTTATTTGAGCTCCCTTTGATGAGGTTAGCACCATTTCCCAAATCAAACACGTAATGTAAGTACCTGGGGAAAGAATGAAAGAGTGGGGAGACCCATGACTTTTTGAATTTTCAATGGAGTCAAACCAGATATCACAACTGGAGATTTTTTTCTTTTTCAGGAGGTTCCGTCCTTGATAGAAGTCATGAGAGTGAGTTACATTGAAGTGGCTAAATTCCTCGTCCTCCCCTTGTTTTAATCCTTATTATAATTTTTTTTAACTAATACCTGACTGTATGTAAAAAAATATTTAGAGTTGTGTTAAGGGTTAACAGCTGAATGCATTTCTGAACTCTATAGCTCTGCAGTTTGCAAGCCTGTCAGATTTGACCTTCCTGTGTGAGAGACTGAGCTGAACCTCAGCCTGTCACCATTTCCTACGTAGATGAGAGATGGAGTTGCCCTCTAGTTCGGGCTGCAGAAAGCCCCCTAACCACATCCCCCATTTCTGTAACCCAGTTTGCCAACCTGGTGAAGCCCCCTACCCAAAGCCCCTTACCCACCTTTAACCACCTGGTGAATACCCCAATTTGGGTGACTCTGCCTGGATACAGACCGAGAACCAATAGAAAAGCTTGCTTGCTTGCACAAGAAAGGTATATAACTCCAGTTCTCCCTACATTCAGGGCCCAGGTTGTTGGCACGTGAGTTCGCCTGGGACTGCTAGCATAATAAATCATCTGACTTCTCCATTTCTCCAAGTGTCTGCGTTTCCTTTGGTGACTTCTGCCATAACAACATAGAAGCTCACTTAACAATAATGTAAAGAACTATTCTGCTTCAGCGAGGAGGGTTATTCATAGTCTTCACTACAGAAAGCAGTAAGAATTATTTTTAAAATCATAGTCAACATTCTCTTATGACTTTTGAAGGGAGTATCTCTCACTATGCCTTCCCTATTTGCACTATTCCCACTATCCTTTGCTAACCACACTGCAATGGCAATTCCCATCCTCTTACCCCTGCTTTTCTCTTTATCCTGAGTCCCTCCTTCCATGTGGGAAATGTGCACTCATCTCTGAAGACTCAGTTCAAATAGCTACTCCCTGACCATATGTTCCTAAAGACTCTCCCGAGTCTTTGCCATGAACATCTTAGGACATTTTTCATAGTAATTTTCTGTTATACTTATGTGTTTACCTGTACCACCTAGGGTTGATATCTTGTGTGGCTGAGGGCTGGTGGGAATGAGATGTGCATAGGGGTGGCAAAGATTTTGTATAAATACATACACATACACACATGCACACACGAGGGATCTTCAAAAGGTTCATGGGGATATCTATATTATCTTTCAATTCTGTTTTTCCACTAACTTTTTGAAGACCCCTCGTGTGTGTGTGTGTGTGTAAGTGTGTGTACATATATCAGTATGTGTGTGTGTGTGTGTGTGTGTATACTCTATATGTCAGTATGTATATACTATAGATAGATAGATATAGATATAGATATCCATAACTGGCACATTGTCTAGCCCATTGTAAATATTCAATAATATTTGCCAAATGAATGAATAAATGCTCAGATTGGTTAAAATACATCAAATAGGAAATTTTACACAAATCTTGCTTTTTAAATTCTTCAGGGAACTGAGGCACAGAATTAAGCTTGAGTTAAATGATATTTTGTGGAATTTAAGTAATCTGATTATTTAAATTAGCTATTTAATTCAGCACAAACTAGCCCACAAATTTGTAGAAATTTTTTTGTGGAATTACATTGTGCACAGTCAGGAAATGCACATTTTAAGTGTCAGATTTACGGAATGCCTACCATGAATTAGAACTCAATGTTGTTTGTTCCTCTATGCAGAAATGTAGGCACAAAAGACTGGACTGAATTCAAATTAATTTAAGATGCCTAAGACATGACTTAAATGAATGCATTACTTGTCCTCCCCCTTCCCCTGCATACCATCTTACAAGCCAATACATTCCATTTAATGTATAGTTTTGGAAATTCAGGTCCATTTTTCCAAAGTTTTATGTATTTGTCATTGAACTGACATGTACTTACCCTTTAACTAATTCAACCACAATAAAGTCATTTCCATCCCCACTGTTATACAGAATTAGTCCATCTAGGGATGTTGTCTTGAACTGGAAAAAAAGATGCATAGAAGTGTAGGCTTGCAATGTAGCTAAGGCAACATAGCTTGATTTGGTCTTGAAGGTGACAGGGTCTGCTATGATGTTCCTGAAGCCAAATCTGGCATTGAGCTCACAATAATCTATGTCACCATTTTTACACAAGTCAATGTATGCCATTCCATTAAATGTCAGGCTCTGCAAGTGTCCAATGAAGTTGGAGGGGACAGATGAAAGATACCGTCGTTCTGTGATGATGCCAGTCTCTATGTTATGGAACTCCAGCCTTGTATGATCGCCTGCCATTTGACCTAAAAGAGATGATAATATATTATTTTCTGTATCTGAAAGGCACTTTCAACTTTAGACTCCCATAACAATATCACATTTTAGAATTTAAGAATCCAAACGCCTCCCTGATACTAGGTTGCATACAGTAAGAACACCTAGGCGATGTTAAAGGATAAGGCTAGTTTACATGATATAAAACCTTCTTAGGTCAGGTTCTAATCCCTGTCCAAATTTTAGTCTTAACAAAAATCATCCTCCTTAACAAAAATCATGACATTTTTTAAAAGTAGAAGTAAGAAATAAAAGAAGGAAAGAAGCTATGAAGGGAATAAGAAAAGGGCAAGAGGGAGGGATGCAGGGAGGGAAAGATGAATGGATTAGGGGAAATGATTCTTAATCATCCCAGTAGAAAGTGATTCATGATTAGGTGATGTTTTCTTTACAAATGTTCTTCAAGGAAAAAAAAATTGACTATATATTTTTCTATATCTAATAGAAATAAGGAAGGGTAGCTGACTCTTATTCCAAAAATAAAACCGTGAAAATGTGTTTGAAGTTAAGTATGTACTTTTTGCTTTCCCTTTTCTATGCTAAATAATGTCCGTGGTCCTTCTTTGCACTAGTCTCTCAACCACTCTGGAATTTCTGTTGATCTCTTCTGAACCTATGCCATTTTTCTTGTATTTTTGTTTTGGAGTACTAAATTGAGCACATTACACTAATTCAAGGCATGCCTAGTTTTGAGAATACCAGTAAAACTAGCGTACATTACCACAAGGTATAATCTTCTTTAAACATCCAAGTGTGAAGCTTGGTTGCCTATTTATTTAGTGATTCACTATTCAACTCAGCCCCCATCTCTCACCATCCCGCCATATTTCTTTCAAAGAAATTGTTTTCCCCAAAGAAATATGATCGGATGGAGAGAGATGGGGGTTGAGCTGAATAATGAACAGTTTAACTCATTTTAAGCCAGCATCGTCCCATCTTTACCTCCAGAGTGATAATTCCACCTGCTTGCAAAGTTGAAGGAAAAATAAATAAAAAGAGAGGCGAACTTGTTTTCTAAATGGTAAAGAACAACATAATATAAAGTTCTCTTATCATTGCTAGTTGTTCACTTTTAGCATCTTTCTCTTGTCTAATCAAACTGTCATTCACTCTCTTCTGCAACTCAGAAAGGTCATTTAAACGGCAATGGAGTTCTTCCAGGTGCTGGCTTCCCTGCCCAATTTGGCATAATTGGAAAATTTCTGGAGCTTATCCTATCCCATCACCCATGATATGAATGAAAGTATTAATTAAAGCCAATCCCAGAATCAGTCCCTAAGAAAATGCACTGAACCTTCTTCCCAGGTATAATGAAGATTGAACACCCACCTACATGGGCTCCTTCAACCAGTTTGACATATTTCCACTTCTTTAGTCAAAACAGTAAAATACTGAAGAGCATTTTAAGGAAATGCCTGTAAGTAAAATTTAAAAGGTACGCTTTTGTTGTCCAATGAAAACTGTTTACGTATTTAGTTAATTGACTTTGATGATTATAAACTCAGAACTCTCTCCTGAGCTGTACTTTAATTTTTCAACAGACTTTACCAGTCCTTGATCCTGCTAACAGCACTCGGTCATCCTTGGCATGTTATTTTTTCAGCCATTGGTTTGTTCTGATTCTCTTTGCAAACTTTTTTTTTCCACAAAAAATATCACTATAAAGAATTGTCTCTTCACTCCCCGCCCTCACTACAATGCCTCCTGATTGCCTAAATGATGCAAAAATACTCTTACATTCTTAACAATTCTGGTTTCTCATATAGCCTCATCTCTCTCTCCTTTAGTTCTTCTTGTTCGGTGACTTCAGTACGGCTCTGTGGGAATCTACCTCTTTGGCAAAAATAAAATTAACCTTTAATAATTTCCAAATATAAAGCTCTAGAGACACCAGCAACACTGAATTAACAAGCTATGTAGAATGAAGAATATGAAAATCACATGGACTTTGATGTCCCTTTGTATTGATTTTTATCTTCCTCTCTATATTAAAATCTGAGTTATAACTCAGTGAACTCCACCCTGAAATTGCCGTGTCTCTTCTTAAAGATTCTATTGATGAGCCAACCAATAGTAAGAAAAATCCAAAATATATATATATATATATATTTCTAATACTCAAATTTAAGTGTTAGTCCAAAGTTTCAAGTTCTTGACTCCTCTGAAATAGGGAAAAACATTTTCTTTAGTAGGATTGAGAAGTTCAGTGACAAAAATAATACTTATATCTGTTTTCCTTTCTCAAAGGAATATAATGTGTATGCAGAGCGAAAATAATGAAAAGTAGTAAAACAGTGTTGAAGCAACCATAGACTAGTTATAAGAAAAAACATTATGGCCCATGCTTAAAAGCCTATTCTTTTTTTATACAATAAGCATACATAAATTGTGTACACAAAAATGGCAGATAAGCTTGCTTAAGGGGAAGAATTAGCACCTAAAAGCCATTATTCAATGACTAAGAAAACATTAACAGAGTGATTTCTTTAAAAAATTATTTTTCCCTCTGAATTTACTGCAGTGTTTAATCCTCATCAGTAATGTAGCCACCCCCACTGTTGTATACATATGTTAATTAAATAGGGAAAAAAAAAGAGGACTTTGATGGAGAAAGATTTTAAGGTTCCAGCCATTTAAAAATGACCTGTCATTTCCAGAGACTTAAAGAAAAGGGGAATTTGGAATTAGCAAAATGCTTCTGATCAAGGTGCCTTGGGCATTCAAGTTTGACAATAATCTCCAATAAGAAACAACCACCAGTTGGGCCGGCCCGGTGGTGCACTGGAGAGTGCGCCGCTTGGGAGTGCGGTGGCGCTCCCGCCGAGGGTTCGGATCCCATGTGGAGACCGGTTCCCGCTCACTGGCTGAGCACGGTGCGGGCGCAACACCAAGGGTTGCGATCCTGTTGCCGGTCCCCGGTACGGGCGCGACACCGAGGGTTGCGATCCCATTACCGGTCAGTAAAAAAAGACAAAAAAGGAAAAAAAAAAAAAAAAAAAAAGAAACAACCACCAGAATATGTTTTCTGAATGGTGCATTTGTATAGAAATTTCAATATCTAAGTCAAATCTTTTTACCCAAACTGATAGCAAGATCAGCCATTTTAGATTCAGCTTTGCATTGAGTTGGGTTAAACTTCTGTTGTGTAACAAAAGAATCCCCACGTCTTACATGAACTTGTTAAATCACCTGAAGACACTGAGTGTGTGGTATATGTGTCAAGTGCTGTGCTAGGTAATAAAGGAATAGTATTGAGAGGAGCAGACAAGGCCCCTGTTTACAAAAAACTCGGTCTACTGGGGGAAGGCAGATGAAAAGAGGTAAGGATATAATTAAATAATAAAACTCAGAAAAGTGCTATGAATTTGATGAACGAGATGTTGTGTTGGTAAATGTGGGCTGGTAGCAGGTACCTGAGTTGGTATTTAAGCTACATTTGAAGGATTAAAAAGAAACGGCTCTGCTAAGAAGTGGGGAAGGGGAGTCAAGAGGTGGATTCCATGCAGAGACAAATGACCAGAGGCTTTTGGGTGAGAAAGAGCTAGAGAGCATGGCTGGAGAATTGTGAGCAAGTGAACTAGTGGCTCACATGAAACTAGGAGTGCCAGGGGCCAGATCCATCAATGGTGCCTAAGGAGCTATTGGACAGTTTTAAGCAGATGATCAGTCATGACTCAATATGTGTATGTGTGCAATTGTGTGTATGTGCATGTGTGTTTAATCCTTTTGTGGGTACAATAGATTAGAGAGGGTTTGAAGTAGGGTAGTAGTAGCAAAAATGGGAACAAAATGAGATAACTTTTCAGATATAACTTGCAGGATTTAATAATGTACAGATTAATGGAGAGGAAGGAAATGGTAATGTCTGGCTTCAGGCTTCAGTAACTGGATGTGTGGTAAATACTGTTCAACAAAGGACACTCACCAGCATACACACACATATAAAATACACAAATTTCACAATTTTTAGACAGATTAAATGACGAGTTGAAACCCAGTGACTCCACACTTAGGGATCCCACATAGTTTGTACAACCCTTTTTCATCTGAGACATAGGAAATCTCCCTCTTAGGGCTTCTCTGCTGGTAACTACTGTCTTATCATCCTTGGTGAGGTGCAAACATTCTCAAGAAGAGCCTGAGTATGTACTGGCCTGGGTTCAACATACACTTGATGTAACCATTACTATGGCTTAAAGATGTGGGAAAATATAGAACTTTGCATAAAGAGTCTCTATTGCTTTCTTTTAAAAGCTTCTTCCTGTTTAGTGATTTCTGATTTGCTGTAAAATTTAAGAAACTCCCATTGCTTTCCTGATCTATGGGTGGCTTCAAGTGGCCACTAGGGTGTTTGAAAAAATTCCATTCTAAACTTAAGCCTCAATGGCAAGTTTCCACTGCTACTTTTGGAGACCTTTTCTATATTATGTAAATCAAGGCCGATTTTACATTCTTATGAGTTGTTGGCTTTCATGAGATTTTTGGCAAGATGGGAGAAAAGGTGGTTGGCAGATAGGTAGGAAGGAAAGAAGGAAGGAAGAAAACGACTAAAGTTATTTACAAACTCAGCACAGGAGTATCCAGGTTAAGTTTTAGGCAGGGAGAAATGAGAAAAAGAATCACAAACTAGTCCTGGACTCTTTTCTGTTGGTTTACTGATTGCAGTGGTATGTGTAAAGCAATTCTGAAAGCATTTTAGGTACATTATCAAGATGAACAAATGAGTAAATACTACTGGGAGCCAGGATTCTTATCTTTAAAAAAAGACATGGAAACATGGAATGGGGAAAATCAAGAAACAATACTAGAGGTTTGGAGGTACAGTGTAAACTCGTGTTTTCCAAAATATCTGTATACGTATTTTATGCATACGTGAAATTCATATGTTCTTAAAGTGTAAACATTTACATATATGTGTAGGTGTAGGTGTATATACTTGAATATATTTCCTGTCTTTGCCTGCCGAAATGGTCAGGTAGCAAAGACACTCCAGTAGCTTTGAGCATACCTACCACCCAGATCTTGGTCTACATTATTCCTCACTAAATGTAAACTAAATGGCTAATTCAAGGGATGAAATATGGTAGATAAAAGCTGTACCTAGAACATCCTATTATGCCAGAAAGTAAAAAGGTGTTAAAAAATTGGGGTAAAGCATGTCACAAGATCATAGAAACCAACCTGATAAAACTCACAGTGCTTAAAATGGGAAAAATTTGAGCACAAAAATAGAGTAATTATTATTGTAAAAAAAATAGAAACTTGTGGATACACAACAAAAAGGAAGGAAAGAAGGGAGGAAGGGAGGGAGGAAGGGAGGGCAGAGAGGAAAGGAAAGAAAAGGAAAGGAAGAAAAGAGAAAGAAGGGACAGAGAAGGGAGGGCTCTTGCTTACAGTAGAATGCTAAGTGCTGACTGTACAGGTGGGAGCAGTGCTGGAGTTTGAAAATAATCATTCTGTAACTAACATGTTAAAGACTGTATCAGGCAAAAATCTTCAACAGATGCTAAATCTAAGGCAAAATTTTGATGAGGTACAGGATGCTTGTATGGTCTTAACATGTCTCTCCACAGACAGCTTATTGTAATTTATAGTAATTACACAGTGAAGAAATTGGACAGCACATTGACCAAGTGATCAAATAAAATCACCAATCAAGGGCATGGACAGCATGTGCATCCTCATGAGACACGATGAGAAAGCCACACATCAACAATGGGGTTTATTTCATTCAAGAATGTCAAACCTGAATTTAATCATAAAAAAATCAGACAACATAAAATGAGTGACTTCAACGCAATGTAGTAATACATTAATATAAGGTAGGAGAAAGATTGTCCTTTAAAAATCTCAATGTGATGAAAGAAAGAAAGTTTATAGAAATGTTCTAGATTAAAGGAGGCTATAGAGAGATAACAACTGAATGAAATATCTGACTCTAGACTGTGTACTGTACTGGAGGGGGAAAATATGCTCATAGCACATAGACAACATTGGGTCAACTGCCAAAATTGGAATATGAATGATACAATAGGTAAAATATACTGTATTAACGCAAAATTTACTGAAGTTGGTAAATTTTACTTTGTTAAGTAAGGAAATACTCCTCTTTTGAGAAAAATACATGCTGAAGTATTTAGGGGTAAAGGGCCATTGTGTGTGTAATTTACACTCATCTAGTTAAGAAAAATTCAGAGAAAGAGTGAGAGAGGAGAGAGTGCAAATGTCAAAGCAAACAGAATAAAATGTTCACAATAGTAAAGATATACCAGTGTTCCTCGTATTATTTTTATTTTTATTTTTTATTTATTTATTTATTTTTTTGTCTTTTTTCCGTGTCCGGCAACGGATCGCAACCCTCAGTGTTGCCCCCGTACCGGACCGGGGACCGGCAACGGGATCGCAAGCCTCGGTGTTGCTCCCGCGCCTCGCTCAGCCAGTGAGCGGGAACCGGTCTGTATATGGGATCCGAACCCTCGGACGGGAGCGCCGCCGCGCTTCCCAAGCGGCGCACTATCCAGTGCGCCACCGGGCCGGCCCATATTATTTTTATTTTTGAAACTTTTTGAAAGTTTGAAATTATTTCTAAATAAAATGTTTAAAAATGTTTTGCATCATTCTTTTGTTTCCATCCCTGCTACAGCCAATGTACTTCAGGACTTACTTTCCACCCTGAACCATCTGATACACTACCACACGATTGATTTTGCTCAAAAATATTCTCAGCTTCCTTTTCAGCTTAAGTGCAGTGATTTTCAATTGCCTGAAAGTCTTCTATGACATATGAATCCCTTAGTCCACAGCATTGATTCATGGGCCCCCAAAGGACATTCTAGCCTTGTCAACCACCATATTGTTTCATAAAGCAAAACAAAACTTCTTAGTTCCCTAAACATTACTCTGTCTAGCCTCCTCAGCATTATTTTTTCTTGTGTGGAATTCCCTCCCACACACGTTTATCACCTGCATTTTCTTTTCTTTAAAGCCTAGTTTAAATATGAGTGTACTTCAAGAAGTCCAAGAAAACATTCATATTATATTTTAATCCTATTATCTATTGCTTCATGCTCTCTTTGAATTCCAAAAGAACGAATTGCTTGTCACTCAGTACATCATATATTGCCCTATATTATCAGTTGCCTTCTGAGGTTTATATGAATGTATATATTATCCTCATAATATGCTGTTATATGTGGGAAAGTACTTATCACAGAGCCAAAGACTTATTTGGATATTAACAAATATAAAGCAATAGACTGGCTCAAAACAAAATCAAGCTAATCAAAATGAAAAATAAGCCTAGGTTCTCTTCCCAGTCCTGGTAATAACGGCACTTCACTGAAATATAAATCACATATGCTCTGTGAGTCTCAGTTTTCTCACCAATTAAATGGGAATATATGTGCACTCTCTACTTCATAGGACTGCAGAATATTTGAGAGACACTCAGAGACTGTTTTGCTGTGGTTCTCGATGTTCTTGTTTCCAGAAGCTGTTTCTTCCAAACCTCTTGCACATCATATTAGACCCTAACTGTCCACTCCCACCCTTTTTGATAACATGCAGTTAGTTGTTCAAACAACGGGTGCTAAGCTACAAAAACAATTCATTCCTCTTCCAAGAGCTTCATTTGACACTCTCCTGCCAAAGCCCTGTAAAAATTCTGCCTTCCTTCTCTAAGCTTAAAAGCTCTTTCAGAGCATTCTTATAGTTGTCAATTCTGAGTAAAGCCTTATGCTAACAGCTCTCTGGTTGATTTTCTTTCCCAAGAGAATAAAATGACAAAACACAGAAGCAATTTTTAAATGCTAATCCAGGGACCAGCTGCATTAGAATCCTCTAGATAGATTTTAAGCAAAACAAATTAATGGCCTCCTCCTCAGACTTTCTGTAGTGTGAGGCTATTATCTGATACTTTTAAAGCTCTTCAGGTGATTCCAAAACAAAATAAAGTTCCACAACTTGTAGAAAAAAAAGTTTTGGAAAGCCATAAAGGCTGATAAAACATAAGATAGTAGGAGGTCTATGGAGTTGGTAGTTTGCTTCACCGGAACTCAGGAATGATTCTTTCAAAAATTAAAATACAATACATGATATCTCCACATTGCTAGAGCTGACTGTTCTCTGTGCAAGGGAACCTCATCAGGACTGAATGTAGAACAGACACTTCTCTACTGCACAAGGACCATCTTATGATTTTTACTATAATAATTAACATAATGATGTTCTCTAAAACACGAAAATAAGCTAATATCCCAGTGGGTCATGTGCTTGAAGTTATTTTCAGAGAGGATAAAGGTGCACTGGTTCCTCTTTCATTTGGCTTCCCTGTGTCTCCAGGGCAGACCTTTACACGGCTCATCTCAGTTAGAAATCTACAAATCAGAGATTGAACATGACATCCTTAATATTAGAGTTTAACCAACTGAGCAAAATGGCCCAAAAATGATCTATTATAAGTTAAAATGTAAAAGTGGTTCTTCTGAAAGAATGCCAGTATATCTATCAATTTACTTAGATACTAAAAAGTAAAACTTGCTGTTGTTCATCCCCAAACTATATAAGAAACAAAGAAACGGAACAGAAAGTGGCATCCAAACAATGACTTTAATATTTTATGAGGCACAGCTATGTACCAGATCACTAAAATAAAATATATTATAATTTATTCTTGAATTATTAAAGGGCAATAAACATGGCACAAATAGTGTTGGTCATTTGGAAGGAAAGACACCTAACAGGTTACTTATTAAATAGAATTTGTTACTAGAAAAATTAGAATAAAAAGTGGATTGTGTGTATAAGTTTCAAGTGCACCAGTCTTGTTTTGAAAAGCCACCTGCAAGAAATGAGAAAGTCTGAGGCATTAGCATAAGAAAAGGCAGTGGGGGCAGGGGCCTTTACCTGTCATGGCCTGCTGGTCATCCACTGTTAACTTTAGACCTTTTCCTCGACGAACCACACGCACTGTGTGCCATTCATTGTCATTGAGGTTATAGCCAGCAAAAAGGGTCTCGGGACCTTTGCCTGTAGAATATGCCAAACAGTCATTATGGACACTCAGAATCAGTCAAGCAAATGAACCTCACAGAAAGTGAGAGAAAGAGACAAAGAAGGTGGGGAAAGAAGGGAGAGGGAGGAAAGAGAGAGAAATGAGAGAGAAGAGGGAGACAAAGGAGAGAGAGAGAGGGGGAGACAGACAGAGAGAGAGAGAGAGAGAAGAGAGAAGAGAAGAGAGACTGGCTGGACCAATTTTCAAGCCCATTAGAGTCATAACAAGCAAGGAAAATGATGTTAACAAACACTCACATGTGACAATTTAAAAATCTTTAACCTTATGCATTGATCTCAGCCAAGTGAATTAACCTGTTGTCATAAATAGGCACAGTCAATATAGCATTGGGAAGCCTCCCAAACTTACTCACACACTTTTTTTGAAGGAATTCTCTGATTGTTTCAGTTATCACTTTCTTGCTAATGAAGTGGCCAGTAGCCAAGTAACCTCTGATCTTGCTGAGACATCTGACTATAGGACATTAGCTTACCATCTTCAGTGAGCACATAACTGGGCACTTAGACTCCGGCAAGAAAGCCGCTCTAGGTACTGTATTGTGTGAAGGCTGCTCTGCAGCTCTCACGTTGTGTACCTCCAATGTTCACCAAGTTCTTAGGTTCATTACCTTCCTAAACGTAGGGAATGTTGTGTTTAAAAACAGTCTTAAAAACCTCCTTGTAACTAATTGAACTGCATGTTTTGAGTCCCTCTGCATGTGGTGGAGGCACTTCTGTAGGTATAGGTAGAAGTACTGACTCATAGCAAGTGGACAGAAAAGAGAGGGACGGCCAATAAAGGGCCAAATACTGAATGTGAAGGAAACAAAGTGATATTAACCAACAGAGGAAGGCAGGGATTTCTGGCTAATGGACAAAACAAAGAGGGCAAAAAGTAAAACCAACTGGGAAAGCTACTGCCAGTGAATTTATGTAAACCTATGCAAATGAAATTTAAATAGGTTTAGAACAGACATGTTATTTCAGAATGGTGTTTGGTGGAAATTATTGAAATGACAAAGTTAGACTTTGTCCTTCTTCAACTTAAAAACAAAGCAACAACAAAAAAAAAGCTTTTAATATAACTGGGAATTTTTATTAAAAAATAAGTATTTTTACTAATCCAAGATTATTACTCATTGAGAGTTATACTGTTAAAGATACATTATTTGGTATAGATTTTCTCCTGGTTTTTTAAGTAGTGACATTTGCTGGTACATTAAATTAATGAAGGACAAGACATCATTGAGTTTCATGACTTTCAACAGATTGAGGATCGGAATTGGGGATTACAATTTCTTTAACCAAAGTCTGTGAGCAAAATGATGTCCAAGATGGGCCAGCCCAGTGGCGCACTGGACAGTGCGCCGCTTGGGAGTGTGGCGGCGTTCCCGCCGAGGGTTCGGATCCCATGTGGAGACCGGTTCCCGCTCACTGGCTGAGCGCGGTGCGGGCGCAACACAGAGGGTTGCGATCCCATTGCCGGTCAGTAAAAAAGACAAAAAAAGGAAAAAAAAAAAAAATGATGTCCAAGAATCATAGGGGGACGTATAAGAAGGCAAAAATCAGGCTAGGGAGAGGGAGAAAGAAAAGAAGAAAGAGAAAAAATAAGTAAGGGAACCAGTAGAAGAAACCTTAGCAGTTCATCCACATGAGATCATTGCTTTTAGAAACACAGGCTATCCACTTCGCCCCTTGATTTCTCTCCTATGGTATTACTGATGATACAAGTCCTGTCTTCCTTGATTTGTGTGTCTGTGGGGCTTAAAAAGAGCCACTGATATAAGCCGAATTTTGCTGTACGAATTGCCTTAATTCTTTAAACAGTACCAACCATCATTAAGATTAGAAATCATCTCTCTTTGTTTCTTTAGAGAAGTTAAATTACACAACTAGAGACATGAATAAAAACTATTCTAGGTAGAACAGTTTTGAGAGATTGATCACTAAATAACTTGAGGAAGCCTGTTAGTTCAGCAACTGCAAAAATGCTTTGAGACCAAATGTTGAAAGCAAGTTCCAGGATCAAAGGAACTCTTTCTAGTTTCAATAGTGAAGAAAGAAGTGTTTAATAACTCTGCAGCAGCTTAGCATCCTACTGGCAGCAAGGGTCATCCTTAGTTTTGATCTTTGAAAAGAGAATATATCACTTTAAAGCTATTTTTAGAGGGGAGATCTTTTTTTCTTAGAAATCTGTGCTTTGAAGCAGCTTCACTCCCATTCTTTTAATTTTAAATGTGTTTTGTCAAGGAAAGGAAGCATAAGGGTGATATCATCATTATACCCCATTCTGGGCTTGATCTTGCGGTAAAGTGCTCATGCTTAATCTATGAAACAACTATTTCCATAACAACAGGCACAAAACCCAATTAAAAATAACCCTTTGGTTCATAAAAATCTCTGTGGGCCAATTTCAAGCTCCTTTCTTGTATTATTAAAAATATGAACAGACTGATTTTGGAAAACAAAATTTTTTAAAATGTACTAATTAGACTGACTTCAAAACAATGTTACCCATGTGTCATGCAGTATAACAGAAAGTGCCCGGGACTTGGAGTTAAGGATTGTGTTGGTTAGTCATTGATTTGCTACTAAAAAAGAGGCTGGGGCTTGTGAGTGCTTATTATGTATCAGACACTTTGTTATCTTATGTCATCTTTATTATTATCAATTTGCAAATGTGGAACTGAAGGCTTAGAAAGCTAAAACTACTTGTCCCAAGGTCACACAGCTAAAACATGGTAGAACCAAGTTCCATCCTAGGTTTGACCTACTCAAAAACCTGCATGCTTTCCTCTGCATTACTCAGCCTTCTAGCTATGAAATACTTTGTCTACAGCTTAACTTCTCCGTTTCCCCATATCTAAGTAAAGAAGATGAAAAAGACGTTCTTTGTGATGACTTCCAGCTTGCCCTACAGAATGATCATACGGTTAGGAAACCCTACACAGCCTATGCATACGTTATGGTGGAAGAAAATCTCTAAACGATACACTCTCTACCTAGCAATGCTGAAATGGCTGCTACTAAAGACATGATATAGAAGAAGGGCATCAGTTTAGAAACTTACTTCATTCATAATCAGCAATTTTCTAAAACACTGACCTTCTGGTGGTCATCCCCATCGATAAAGTGAAGAGATAACCTAATTGATCCCTACAGTTCCTTTAGAATCTTACGTTCTCATGGAAATTTAAAATATATGCAATTGTTAAAGAAAGATGACTTAAATATTGACATTTTGGGTTTGTGAGCTGTGTGTCCTCTTGCCAACATTTTAATGGCAAAATTACAGTCACTCAAATCTTTAATGACCTGAATTCCTTTGGAGATTTACTTGTCTTTTGGGGATATCAAAACATATCTCAATATGGTAACATCTTTCTCCCAGCATTAACTTCAGTATTATGGACTGAATATTTGTGTTCCCCCAAATCCATATGTTTACTTTTAAACCCAAGTGTGTTGGTATTAGGAGGTGAGGGCTTTGAAAGTTAATTTGGTTTAAATGAGGTCATGAGGGTAGAGACCCGTGATGGGATTTAGTGCCCTTACAAGAAGAGAGAGAGATACCAGAGCTTATTCTCTGCCATGTGAGGATACAGTGAGAACACAGCCATCTACAAGCCAGGAAAAGGGCCCTTGCCAAAAATCAAATCTGTTGGCAACTTTATCTTAGACTTCCTGGCCTCTAGAACCATGAGGAAAAATATGTCTGTTATTTAAGCCACCAGTCTACGGTATTTTGTTATAACAGCCCAAAGCAGACTAAGACAGTGAGCAATATTCTAAGGACTCTTTAGAAAGTCCATAGCATTGTTTCTATTTTAAAGGCATCATTCCTTGTGTTTTGTGAGAAGCTCTACACTTAAGGAAACAGATTTAGAAAGGCTGAATGAACTATTATAATTCTCAGAGGCAGTAAAGATTGGAGTTAAAACTGAGATTTTGAGATCTTCCATCTCTACTAAAATGTTCTTTCCTTAGAAAATGATCTTGCTGTAGTAAAAGAGAGTTGCAATGTGGCTGAATGCGTATAGCTGATATTTAACCAGACTGGGTCAGAATTCATCTCCAGAGGTTAATGTTATTTTAAAGAATTTTAGAACCAGAAGGGACATGAGAGGTACAGAAAATCACTGAGCCATCTACAAGCAAAGAGCATGAGCTCCAAAGAGATTAGATCATGTCCCCATGGTCATAACCATTTAATAGATGAGTACAGGTCTCCAGACCATCAGTCTAGCAAACTTAAATTATCCTACCCATTATATTATGCTGATCTAGAGTGAACTTCTCAAAGGACACTAAAATCTGAGTCTATGATTTGCTCATGGACTGCTGTTTGTCCTGCATGAAAGGTGAAAGCCAGACAAGACTAAATACAGCTTAGGAAGAATGTCACTCATTTTCAACAGAGTTTGATCTGAGCTATAGTATAACTGTTTTCTGGTCAGTGATATTCACCGGGTTTGCTGGTGACTTTAGCTAAAATTTTTAATAATAACAGATGGAAGTAGAAACAATAAACATTTCAGTTTTCCTTAATTTAGCTCAAGTTGATTGTCCTTTCATGACCTATCCATCCAGGAATCCCAAATATCTTTAAGGTTTACCACTAAGAAGTGCTGAAATTAACCCCAATGTGAGGCATGAGAGAGGCAGAGGAAGGGATTTGTGTGCGTGAGTGTACGCAGGTGTGTAAGAGAGACACTTAAAAGATGTTAGCTTTTTTTGACTAGATTAGTAACCACATTTGCTAATTAATTTAACCTCCACTTTTACTTTTATGTGAATCTTAGGTCTTTTTAAATATTAATCTCAGAACAAAAGAAATGGCAAGGTATAGTCTGTAGTTTTTCACTATGGCAGAGGATGAGGGAGAAAACTTAATTTTGTCCCTAGTCTGCCATCAACTAATTATGTCACCCTGAGCGAGTCTTTATCTTCCCTGTTCCTATTTTTTTATCTGTAAT